GAAAGTTGCCGTATAACATAATAACCACAGTTCACTTTCTTTCTGACCTGACTCACAGCTGACTCTCAAGTCATGTTACTATCAACATAGGTACCAAGGAATTCAGTATTGTCTGACGAAATCACATCACGGCTACTTACTCTGACTCGAAAATCGGTAATTTTCCTGACAGTTCTAGAGTAGAACTACATTAAAACAGTCTTACTGGGGATTACAACCAAGGAGTTGCGGCATCAATCTGTAAATGCGACAGACAGCTCAATGAGTTCCTCCGGACTTTCAGCATCTGCAGCAAGTGTTGTGTCGTCTGCATATAAAATTATGCGGTTTGTATTCGTATGTTTTGGCATATCATTGATGAAAAGTAGGAACAACAGAGGTCCCAAAATGGATACCTGAGGGACTCCATATTCATTACTGTATGATTGTGATTGGCAGTCATCATATTTCACGCACATCTTTCTGAGAGTCAATTATGACTCCAGCCATGAAAGTACATTTCCTCTCTATATCCGAGAGCTGTTATTATATAGAATTTAATATTTAACTATCACAAAAATGACAAATAGTATCATTTGCCTTTCTCCTTTTTTATTTCGAAGGTGCTGATTCCTTTTAGGTTTACTGGGAATAAATGTAAAAATTACTATAAAAAAATACTTTGCCTTTTTCCGGCCCTCAGAAACCTCTTCAATGAAAAATACACTATATTTTGAAATGAAATAAGTTATAAAACCATGTTGGCAGACTTTTGATTTACTTAAAAAATTATCAAATGATAATATATAGTATGAAAGTTAAGCGTTCATACCCTACTGAAACGTTATATATGAATATATTACTATAGATAAAATATTGTTTTCGAATACAAGCTTTTCAAAACAGATTCTGCAACAAGCAAAGGTTATGGGTTTTCTTTATAATTCACGAACTTCATTTTTTGTTCATGAGAGTTTTGAATAATAAATCTAGAAGTTTCGTCAAACAAACTCATATTGCTTTTACAAATTGATAAACAAAGGAATACTGTTATGAATGTAATTTAACTAAAACGTTACCTTTTTTGGTTTCAGCAAAGCCAACTCACTAATTTATTCATCAAAATCAAGTTTTAGCGTTCTTATATTCTATGGACAGAATAGCTGAGTTTGTCAATCTGTGTTCACTCATACTTATATTATTATCGGCTTATTGAAACTACATTCCCAAGACGCAACACTGACGGACATTGAAAATTGAAATTTTTAATGTTGTTTGAATATTGAAAACAGCTACTTCGTTTGTAAGCCCAACAGTTTCAACGTCTCTACTATACATGGCACCAAAAACAATTGCAATCTTTTCGAGAAAAGAGACAGAAAAGTTGTTAAACGACTTGCCTGACATGAAACTGAAGTCAGATAAAATTGTATGATAAATATGTACCCTGTTTTCGATTCCACCTATAATTCTATCAAATAACTCAACTAGTATGCTTCATCTTCAGTCACCTTCTTGACTTTTCTCGGCCTCTCATAAAACTACTAGAGACATATGTAGCTGTGGCTTTCTATGTATATTTTTAATTCCCACTTTTATGCAGGGATTTGAATTTTTGGATAAAGATGAGAGCAAACGTGATGCTACGTCAGGAGTTATACCTTTTTTTGCACAGACTTTATGCAATTTATTGAAACTTTCGACCATATCTCCACAAGGCACACAAACTCATAGTCAATTTGTATGAAAAGATTAATAGCGTCAGGTAACGGTGATGGTATTCCAGTTGTAACATTTATTACTCATGTTTTACAGAAGTGTGTGTGTGTATATAATACATAATGAATAACATGTAGCATATAACATTCCAACTTCGCGGGCTACGCACATTTGATTAGCGATTTTTGAAATGAAAACTTCTTATGGGAGGGTAAACCGCTTCGTTTAAACAGCTTCGTTACGTAACTCGTTACAGCTCCAGTCTGTTTGGCTTCCCTTCCTCTCAAGCGTACGTCAGCAGAAGTCACGCTCTTTCTCTCTCGTCGGACAAACGCTCATGGTTTAGTGTGCGTTAAATATATATTGTAGACATTATTATAAAAATCCAACCAGCAAGCACTTAATATTCTTTTATTATGTGAAACGTTTACTGAAGGTAAACGACCATAAAAAACGACGTGTGTTCGCTGAATGGGCTCTGAAGCAGTTGGCAACAAATCATATTCAGCGATGAGGCCTAATTCTAGATGAATGTGTAGGTGAACAAACAAAATAGTCGAATTTGGGACGATAGCAATCCCCATAAGATCGAAGAGCGTCCAATGCATCCCGAAAAAGTCACTGTTTGGTGTGGATTTTGGGCTGGCGGCGTCATCGATTCATATATTTCTTCGAGAATGACGTTGGCCAAGCCATCACTGTCAACGGCGAGCACTATAGGTCGATGATTACCAACTTCTTTTGGCCAGAATTTGATTATCTGGATATCGACGACATGTAGTTTCAACATGACGGCGCTACGTGCCACACATCATGCCACATGCCACATGGGATATCGTGCACGAGAAATTTGATGATATGGTCATCTCACGTGGAGATGATGTGAACTGGCCATCGAAATCGTGCGATTTGACACCGTTAGACTTTTGCTTGTGGGTTTTGCTTGAGTCACAAGTGTATGGGAATAAGCAACAAACCACAGCGGTCCTCAAAGCCAACATAACCCATGCCATCGGTCAAATTCAGCCTGATTTATGCGCCAGAGTCATAGAAAATTGGACGTTTCGGATGCGTTACACCCAGAAAAGCCGTGGTGGGCATTTCAAAGATGTTATATTCCATACATAATGACATCGATAGGTCTTTCAAACGGATAAAAAAAATCGATGATATTTTACAGACACTTTGTTTTATTTGAATTCAAAGATAGGAAGCGCTTAATGAAAGACGCTATATAAAGGGCAAGTAACAAAATCTGTTTGTTTGAAGGTGATTGACAATGTTTCATGATGAATTTCACTAGTTTGGACTTCCATTGTCCAATATATAAAATTATTTGAAATCCCTGAAACAACTAAAAAAAGAAGAATTAAAAATGAATAGCTGAAAATAACAATTATATTAGGCAAAAAATAACCTGAAATGAAATAGCAGTCTCACGAAAACCAGGCCACCAAACGCGGACTGCGATTCCAAGAACTGCATTTACCGGATACCCTCCATTCAACCACTTA